ATAATCTGTTATTTAACTTGAATATTAATATTATAACTGGTTTTTATTTAGTCTATTATTTTATTTACTAAAATTTATGATATTAAAATCAGATTTATTAAATTAGAATTATTTTTAACTATTTTGCAAAAGATGAGTTTGATCAGAATTTAAAAGACTTTATTATAAATAATCATAAATAACAAGTTGATTATAATATCTCTTATATAAAGAATAGTTTTTTGAACTTTAATCAATTCAGAAAAAAATTTATTATATATTTGAAGTCAATTTTTTGATTTCTTACTACTTATGTATTACTTAGTTTATATTCATATTCTTTTAATCTTTTGCTATAATATAATAAGACTAAGATTACAAGAGCACAAGATAAATCTTTTATTTAAAGCTGTTAACTAGATTTTACTAGTATTTATGAAAAGATAAGTAATTAGAATTCACTATAAATGAGTATAAAAAACTTGTTTTTTCTAACTGTCATACTTACAGAAAATGAGTTAATTATAATAAAATGTGATTATAAAACTACATACCTCATATTTCTTATTCTCATAGTGGTCAAAGTCATGATATTATTGAAGTTTTGTAAGAAATTTATTATGTGAAGTTTGAAAAAAGTGAATATTCAAAGAGCCGGAAGCCAATTAAAAATTACATGAACTTCTAGAATATGATCTATTACACTAGACTGTAAAATTCTATTAAAAGTTCATATCGCAATAAGATATGTATATTATTTATTATATTAATAACATCAGTGAGTAATGTATGTACATTCTTATATTTTGTTAAGAGATTCCCTTTCTTATTAAAAACAAGTTGCTTAACATTTTTAAGAATAAATTTTTTGTTTCTTCTTGCAAAACATGAATATTATATTTTTGGTTTACATCTTTAAATAAGCAATCCAAATATAATGCTATAAATAAGAATACGCAAATTTAATCAACCCGGCAAAAAAAATCAAAAAAAAACGAAAATAGAAATTATTCCAATGGGAGTCTATAGATGTCTCTAAGAATGCGTAGCCTGACGGATAAAAAAGTATTAGAAATACATTGTTACGATAAAATATAAATGATGCACTTAATTATTTCGTGCCTGATGAGCTCGCATCGTTATTATTTACACCCCTGAATCCTACCCAATTTTTTCAGGTTAGTGTTTCAAGCCAGCAAAGAAATTAGCTCGACTAAATCAGCTAGCCAGCTATGAGTCGGCTCATTATAATCAACTTTAAACACGATGATATCTTGATCCATATTACCCAAACATGCTTTTGAGCGATATACCAATTTACGTTCGTTTTCTTGTGGTTTTACTATTTGTCGGCTTGGCACTATTATTTTTCGCGTCTTTTCCCATTGAAAACATAGAGGACCAAAGTTCTTTACATCTTTCAGTAATTCATACAAATGATGTTCATTCACGCGTCGACCAAATCAATAGTTTTGCTACAGACTGTACTCCAGCACAATATGAAGCTAAAAAGTGTTATGGCGGTACTGCAAGGCATAAGACTTTGATTGATAGATTGAGAACTCGGAACAAGAATTCGTTGTTGTTGGACGGTGGAGATGAATTTCAAGGTTTGGATGTTAAATTAGAAATTTCATTATTCAGAGATGTTTTAAATAATTGAATTTGATTCTGCGTTATATCATAGGAACCCTTTTTTATACGTATTATAAGGTAACAATAGGTTGATTGAAATCTCCAATCATATATATTAATCCATTGATCATTATATTATATTTCATACAGGGAAATAAAACTGCCGATGTGATGGTAATTAATTGATTTCTATAATAGTGTTATCGCATAGAATTATATGAATTTACTCAATCAATTTCAATTTTTTTATTTTTAAAAGAATATTCTCGGTTATAATTTATCGGTTAGTAGTAAAATAAACTCTGAATTTTAGAATATTTATTTATTCATTAAATTAAAATTGCTTTTTTAGACTATCGGTAATCATGAATTCGACGACGGACCAGATACATTACTTAAATATTACAAACGTCTCAAAACACCAATTGTATGTGCAAATATTGATACGACCAAAAATCCAAATCTTGGACAATACATAAAACCTTATCATATTTTCGAAGAATATAATCTTGCCATCATTGGCTATATTACAAAGGTGATGGATAATCCATTAAATATTTTCTATTGGTTAAGTTTATTATTAAACGATTTATTATTTTAGATGGCAGGTGGAATCTCAAATGCCGGACCAACGCTTTCATTTAGTGATCCAATCCCGATAGTACAAAAACATGTTGATGAGCTTCATGCAAAAGGCATCAAACGCATATTTACGCTTTCACATAATGGATATGAGGGAGATAAAGTACTCGCTGCACAAACTTATGGAGTTGCATTGCATATTGGTGGCCATAGTCATACGCTTTTGTCTAATAGAACTAGTGATGCAAGTGATGCGAAGGGTCCCTATCCAACAACAGTAAAGAACGCTAAAGGTGAAGATACTCTAATCGTACAGGTATAAAAATATTTCTTCACCAATCCTACTACATTCTTGACCTCAATATTAACAATTGATCAAATGAAGGCTTATTGGGGTGGAAAATATATTGGTTATTTGGATATTCTTATTGATGCAGAGGGAAAGATCTTGAAATATGAAGGTGAACCAATTCTCGTTGATCAGTCAATTCCTCAAGACCCTGAAATTAAAAGTCTTGTTTCCAGTTGGCGTCAGCCATTCGATGAATTCGTAAAGGCTGTAATTGGTGAAGCAAAAGAAGATTTCGATCAATCGAAGTGTCAAGATGCCGAATGCCAAATGGGAAATTTGGTCACTGATGCAATGCTAAATTACAGAACCAAAAGTAGTATTAGAGTTAATGCAGCTTTGATTAATGCTGGAGGAATAAGAACTGGATTGTTGAAGGGTAATATCACCATCGAGAATATCTTAACAGTACTTCCATTTGGCAGTTCATTGGTTGATATTGACGTGACGGGAAAGAATATTACTGATATATTGGAAAGTGTTGTTGGAAAAAATAAAAACATTGTTTCCGGAAAACCGGTTACTAGTTTCATCCAGATATCTGGAATTCAGTTCACTTATAACTCATCGAAAGAGATCTTTAAGAGAGTCGTTGAGGTCAAGATTCGGGATCCATCAACCAAAGAGTACACGATGCTTGATCCCAAGCAGGTTTATACACTTACTACGCTTGATTTTGTTGCTAATACTGGCGATGGGTAAATGATATATTGATTTGTTCTTTATTAATTAGTTTAGATAAATTCTGAATATTAAATTCAAATTTATCATTTTTTTTCAAAGAATATTGGCTACTCCAATCGAAGGACTAGTGCCTTTAGATGCAATAGATAAGGTCGTGAATGATTATATTGCAGAACAAAAAGTTATCACGCCCTATCTCGATGGGCGTATCAAAGACGTCGCCGCAAGTACTAGACATATTGGAAAGTTGGAAAATGACGCGCCTCTTCATTATCGGTATACCAGGGCATTAAATGAAAACGAAAATGATCAAGATGGAAAAAAATCGAATCCTCGACCACGTATACATTATAAAAATATTAATCTTTTGAGTCTCTTGTGAAAATCAACTTTTTTTTGAACGTAGATTATTTATTATAAATATTAGTTATCGTTGACATTATTTCTATTTGTTAGAGTTCAATAGAGTACTTGTCACTTAAAACTGAATTATTTAACAAATTGATTTATCGTTATACATTCTGAAAAATCATATAACGATAACTTCCGGATTTATTACAGATCTTGTGACTTATATCGTGACTTTATATCACGTGCTTTACGAACACCAGCTTATCCAATTGTGATTTGGAGCAAAAAATACACTCTACTATAGCAAAATGAGTCAAACAAAGCGAACTTCTGACGATCTCGAAAACGAGAATGACGATTTTGTTCCTTATGTTCCTATTAAACAACGCCGTGAGGCAAAAGTCAGAAAGTTGCAAAGAATGCGACATTTACCAGAACCGCAGGTTGAAAGAGAAGAAAATGAGAAAGACGAAGATTCCTTAGTGGCAGGTCCAAAAGCCAACATTAGCTTAATTGATCAAGCGGTTGAGGTTAAAAAACAAAAAGCATTGGAAGGTAAGAGTTTTTGTTGAGAAGACGTAGTGAACATGTTTGTTTTATAAACTAAGTTTTTCAAGCTCATTAAAATCTTACAATTTGCTTTTTTGCTCAAAGATTCTATGAAAACCGATGCAGAGAAGAAACTCGAAGAAGAGAAGGCTATTATGGAAGCAGTTGCACAACGAAAATTGCTGGCTTCTGATAGAGAACTGGCCAAAAATATTATATATCATGATCCAATAAAAACAACGTAAGCAAATAAATTCTCAATATACTTGAAAACATTTGAATTCTAACAGTTATTTGGTTGTTGTCTAGATGGCGACCACCACGTCACATTCGTGAAAGATCCCAACAAGAACATGACGAGATCAGAAAAAAATACACTATTTTAGTAGAGGGTGAGAACATACCGCCACCAATAAAACATTTTCGCGTATGCATTATTTCAATTATTTATATGCACATGACAGTCGATATAACGGACTCATCCTTCCATAAAAATTTCAGAAAATCCGTTATATAGCGAAGGATTATTATGATTCATCTTGAACTTAATCCGTTATATTTAGTTCGTTGCATTCAGTTTTACGTATAAATCAAGTTTTATGAATGCTGAATTCTGATATCAAGTTTCATAAATTGCAGGATATGAAATTTCCTACACCGATATTGGACTATCTCAAATCATGCGGTATCAGACGACCAACACCGATTCAAGTACAAGGCCTTCCCGTCGCGTAAGCAATTGAGATCTCTCTATGTCTCTATGCTTTGATTGATGAAGGAGATGCTTAATTAGTTGGTAAGAGTTGATTAATAATAATCAACATTTTTCCTTACTTTTAACGTGTAGATTATCTGGACGCGATATGATCGGAATTGCCTTTACAGGGTCAGGCAAGACTTTGGCTTTTTCGTTGCCATTGGTGATGTTGGCTTTGGAGATGGAAATGAAATTGCCATTAGTTAAAGGCGAGGGACCGGTTGGCATGATAGTATGTCCATCGGTGAGTAGCATCAATTTTTTTTTGTTTTTATTTATTAATATGGACTTGTACTAATTTATCGTGAATGAAAAAAAGCGTGAACTTGCAAGACAAACATTCGAAAGTATATGCAAAATGATTGATTTTACAACACGTGGTGGATTTCCCAAAATAAACCCATTGTTATGCATTGGTGGTATTTCAATGAGTGATCAATCGCGAGTTTTTAGCAATGGACTTCATATAGTGGTTGCTACGCCAGGACGATTACAAGATATGCTGTCTAAGAAAAAATTCAATTTGGATTTATGCAAGTGAGAAATTGAAATTTCTCAATTTTCTTATCATTTCTTTTTGATCTTATTGGTTTTAATGTATTCAAATTTCTTTTTAAGGTTTTTGTGTTTGGATGAGGCAGATCGTATGATTGATATGGGTTTCGAGGATGATGTTAGAAATATAATGTCTTATTTTACAGTGAGTGCTTAGTTACTTTGGTTGTATACTATATTTTGCATGTATTATATTCGATAAACGAATAACAATTATTATCTTGAATAGGGCCAAAGACAAACTTTATTATATTCGGCCACCATGCCAAAGAAAATCCAAGATTTCGCGAGATCAGCATTAGTAAAACCAGTAATTGTTAATGTTGGCCGTGCTGGCGCAGCCAATTTGGATGTTTTGCAGGAAGTGGAATATGTCAAACAAGAAGCCAAAATCGTATACCTTTTGGAATGCTTGCAAAAGACTCCGCCTCCGGTTAGTTTACAATTCCTCGTTGATCTTAATTTTATTTCCTCGAGATTTTAATCAAAAGTACTTCTTGATATAGGTATTGGTTTTTGCTGAGAATAAGAATGATGTGGACGATATTCATGAGTATCTCCTTTTGAAAGGTGTTGAGGCTGTTGCTATACATGGAGGAAAAAGTTTGTATATTTGAATTAACATCTAATTTGCATGATAGCTTAATTAGATGTGTAATTATTTTTTTATTGTTGCTTTTTATTCTTAAATAGCTCAAGACGAGCGTGAATTCGCTATTAGATCATTTAAAGAATATAAAAAGGACGTGTTGGTAGCCTCGGATGTTGCTTCCAAAGGTCTTGACTTTCCTGACATCAAACACGTCATTAATTATGATATGCCAAAAGAGATAGAAAATTATGGTATTTACTTATGAACCAGTAATTTTTGGTTACTTTCTGCTAAATACTCTTATTGATTATCGACATAAATAAAAGTACATAGAATTGGTCGCACAGGGCGTTCCGGAAAGACAGGCGTGGCCACTACTTTTATAAATATGAATTGTTCGGAACAGATTTTATTGGATCTCAAACATCTCCTTCGTGAAGCAAAACAACGTGTGCCTCCTGTTCTAGAAGCAATGGAAGATCCAACGGATAAATATAATCTTCATGGTGGTATGTATAATTAGGATTGTTCTTAACAATTTTCATATTTTGTAACTCATTTATGTTCAAAAATTATTTTCATAGGATGTACATTTTGTGGCGGTCTTGGACATCGTATAGGTGACTGTCCGAAATTGGATGCACAAAGACGGCAACAAGTTGGCAATATTGGACGAAGTGGTGGTGGTGAAAGAGGTGGCGGTGAATACTAACAGTTTGTCATGTGGTTTAATGGGATATTAGTGATAATAAAACTCATTTAAATTCAGTATTTAAAGGAATCGTGTTAATAATTTTTTTCAAAACAACAATTAAATAACATTCAATGGAAACATTTTTACGACTTCATTTCTATATATTTTATTCATTGCCGTTTACTAATTTCCCCCAAGCTCTGATTGAACAATGGAAAATCTCAGTATTGATGAGATTCAAGTTGTATGTCCGAACATTTTTTACTAATACACCAAGCTACGTTTGTGCAATCTACATTATGACATTGACGATCACAGCTTCATGTACTTTCTTTTCTACATCCCGACAAACAATTCATAAGCCCGACAAGCTAAATGGCATCCCAAATGAACGAAATCCCGAACGAACGACATCCCAATATCGTGATAATTTGATAATAGTCATGAATGTAGCAGATGCTGCATTGTCAAGCTCTGATTACAATACTCATGATTATAGTAAAATTTGTAGTTACCAAAAAAAAATAAAATATTTCGATGAGCACAAACGAATTTATAAAGCTGAATTTGGCAAAATATTTGATAAATTCAAATATTTTCATCTCGATTAAATTTTTTTATGATTCCACTTAAAAGTAACTTAATGATCCATCTAACTAAACCATCTTTTGCCAGATTGGTAAATTTTCATATCGGATCCATTCAAAAGAATTTAGTTTTCTTGCATTCGTTACTGTATTGTATTGTCGATGTCTATATAAGCAAATTACACCAGAATTTATAACGAAGTAAAATGAATTATTTAAGCGCAATTAATTTTTCAAATTGGATTCGGCCTGCTCTAAATGCAATGAGGTTGATTTAAATGAATAAAATATGAAATAACAAGCTACAAAAAATACTTGATAGTAACGATTTATGCAAAAAGACGATTTCGTAAATATATTTTTAATTCCAGTCAAAAAAAATTAGAACATCTATATAACGGATTGAATGCTGATTTCGGACTTGCTGACTAGCTAATTTAATAAAAAGTTTACGGAGTATTTCCTAAAAAGGTAATGTAAAAAAGTTATCATCACCACATGTGATCAATCAATATAAATTTTGTTCCGCTATCGTTCTTACGATAACGATACACATTGATCTTTCCTTATTTTTACGTATCCGGAATACGAATTATTTTCAAAGCTTATATTAATAATTATAATTATTATTAATATTAAAAATGAATATATATATAATTTATAAAATATTTTTTATCAATAATTTGTTACATTATGTCAAATTTTTAACACACAATAATAAAAACTAGCGTATTATTATTCTATTGTTATATAAAAATTAGTATGTTATCAATTATGTAAGCGTTTCTGTATCACAACAACCATTATTTGAAAATGGGACTATGATGCGGGACAAATAATGCGTAAGGAAAAATTTGATTTTTCCGTTTCCCTATTTATCTTCCCTATTCATCGAAGGAGAAACACCATTCTCACCCCCCATAAAGGTTTTTTTCCAATCGGAATTCCACAATTGTAACCACAACTGCGTATTCAAAATGTTCATAGCCACCAGCCCATAGAAAGCAATACTCCAATACAAATGATTGTGAAAGAGTTCGTATTCACCCCACACTCTCAAACTCAAGTAGACATGAGCTGGTATTCGTATACCAGTTATTGTCAGGAAAAGTAACAGCGAATTGAATTGGTAGAAACGTGTTGTTTTTGTTTTGAAACAGGTCAAATAAAGTTTTCGTTGATGTAAAAAAACATTGCTTATTTCGACGATTAGTGAGGCTGTTAGGTATTCGGCACAAACACATGTATATAGCGAAGTTGAGAAAATGGCGACAATCTATAAAATGGTTTATGTTTTTATTCATATTTCTTGTAAAGCTTATAGTTTTGCAAATGCAGATAATAATACCATAATATGGTGAATCCAAATTCCAATGGTATCCATAAATATCTTTTTTGATACAAAATCAAACAGATCATAAAGAAAGTAACCTAAAAAAAAAAGGAAGTTGCATGACAAGTTTCTTTAATTAAAATCCTTACTATAATCGCGATTCATACCTGTTGACAAAGCGATCTGAGACGCGAAAATTGGTATATTTATGTAAATTAAATTATCCCATGCTTCAGGGTACAAATAAAAACTAAATTGAAAGTTGAGCGATTCGTAATGTGCATTACCAGGGTATATTAAAGATTTGTGATGTTGTAGTTTTACACTTACCAAATGGGTGCCAAAACGGAACATACAAAGGCGTGAACATAACTAACTAATGTATTATTCCAAATAGCTTTCCTTCTCTCGTCGAGATCATTGTAAAAATTCTATTGATTCGGAAAATTAAAAGAAAAGAATTTAATTATTTTTCAAATAAGCAATAAACCAGAAATAGCTTACAGTTAAAGATTTAGTCGAAAGTGATGAAAGATAGTTTAAAAGTGCAAAGCAAAAGAAAGAATTTGCGATAATTTTCAAAGACTCGTATGGACGACAAGTTTCCATTATGATAACGAAATTTTAATATCGTCATCATATTTATATAAGTCGTGATCCAATCATCCAGACGCGTATATTGATCGCGAATTTTGGTTGGTTGTTCAAATAAATGATGGATGTACAACGCGTCCGAAAAATTAATCTACAAACATATATATTGGATATTCTGCAAACACCTATCATCTTAAACGATCTCATCCTGTGTAATTAATTCATTATGAAATTTGGAAAATATCTTGAAGAACGAAAAACACAGCTTCCCCTAAACTGGGATAACCAATGTATTAATTACAGAACTCTAAAACTTTTTATCAAGCACAATATTGCGTTGTATACATTGAATTTAAACACTTTTCCATCACGAATACCGGATGATGAACGAAGAAATATAAAAATTCCTGAAAACGAACAAGTATTCACGTGGAAGCCAATTAATTCTGAACAACCTAGTTTCTCTCAATTGATCTCTACACGTTTGGCATCACTACAAGTGAAGATCACGGAATTTTTGGAGTTACTTGACGCCGAAATACAAAAAGTCTCGGATTTTTATGATGATCAATCCTCAAAGATCCTCGATGCATATCAACAACAAAATATTAAAGAAAATACCCCCGAGGATTTACTTCAATCAATTATTAAATTGGAAAAATTTATTTTTCTCAATTATACTGGACTAACGAAAATATTAAAAAAGCATGACAAACATTCTGGCCTTAATATTAGTGCAGCTTATCTGTCTCGAGTATCCTCGCTTCCATTTTCCAAATCTAATCAACTCTCCTCTTTGAAGAAAAAATTAATGGATCAATTGCTTGTGACAATTGGTGGAAAATCATTAACAAACCATACCCAGCCTTCGATCTCGATACAAAATAATGTTTCTACGACGAATAATGAATTATTTCCACCGGCATCTTTGCTCCCGAATCAAAAAGTGCTAATTTCTTTGACGGGACCACATGGGACTGATATTATTGGTTGTGTGTTAGAATGTGTCGCTGCACATGATTGTGAAATTGAAGATTTTATGTTCTCTCGTCTGTACCACAATGCCACTTTCGGAGTCCTCATCGCCCTGAGATCCAATAGCGTTGAACTATTTCGTGATCTCGCGCAAGGTGCACGAAAATGGGATGGTACTTTAGCCTTCGATGTTCACAATGTTGAAAAGCCATTATCTAACTCTATCGAAGATGCTCCTTACGATAATCGTATTAAATACGCGGCAACGGTCCTAAATCAAAACGGACTTACTGCTGAATTTTTGGACGAATGGACCAAAATCCTGCTAGATGCTAAGATATCGGTAGAAAAAATGCAGAGATTGAATGAAGGAAAAATTTCTTGTGTCGATTATAAACTTTCTGTGCCGTTGGGAACAAATTTCGAAAAACTTCGAGAGCAATTATTCCAGTTCAGCAAAGGTCATGGAACTGATGTTGCTCTTCAACCTTATGATGTGTTCAGAAGACATAAAAGATTGGTGGTATTTGATATGGATTCCACTCTAATTCAGCAAGAGGTTATTGATGAGATTGCAAGAATAGCGGGTGTTGTCGGTGAAGTAGCGGTAAATTTAAAATCAAAGAGGCGTCATCATCTATTTTTTCGGTATTTATTGGTCAATCAATTTATTTGTATAGAAAATAACAGAAGCGGCTATGAATGGAGAAATTGACTTTAAGGAATCACTTCGGCGTCGCGTAAAACTATTAAAAGGCACTTCAGTCAATGTTTTCCAAATCGTCAAAGAAAATCTTACATTTACTGAAGGAGCACATTTTCTTTGCCGAGCATTGAAAAAGATTGGATTTAAACTCGCGGTTATCTCTGGTAAGTCACTTGCTTTTGACATTTCTGAAAATAAATAATAAATAAATCTTTCGTAGGCGGTTTCACCCCGCTTGCTCAATATGTAAAACATGAATTGGGATTGGATTACGCATTTGCTAATCAGGTAAATTAATTGAATGCCTTGAATTCGATATTCATGATTTAGTAAATAATCAATTAATTTTTTAGCTTAAAGTATCATCTGATGGGCTTACTCTCACTGGTGAAACAGTTGGCCCAGTTGTTGACGGAGAAAGAAAGGCTGAGCTTTTAGAAGTCATCGCACAGGCGGAAAGTGTAACGCTCGATCAAGTAATTGCGATTGGAGATGGTGCAAATGATTTATGGATGCTGGGAAAAGCTGGTCTAGGGATCGCATTCAACGCTAAACCGCGGGTCCAAGAAAAGGTAGTGTACCAAAGGTAATTCGGGGTTAAAAAATTTTGGCAAATACACGCTGAGACTTACTTTAACAACTTAATTTAGGCACGAGCAAGGATCAATCAACACAGTTTAAAATATGTTTTATATCTTTTGGGATATACCGATGAAGAATGTAGACAATTATATTCAAGCACATGAAAGGAAATTCTGTTTTTGGTTGGACTAACAATAATATTATCACGCAGAATACTTATTTATTTATTAGTTTTGAAGTGATGGTTTGATCTATTCATTTCGTACCATATAGTAATATAGTATTGATTTTTTTTTGATGCAAAAATTTAATGTAATATCGATATACGAGACTTTCAACGATTGGATTCAGAATTTGTTAATCAATAAACCTAATGAATAAAGGAGATATGCATAGAATAAAGAAGATATCAGAACTCCATTTCTTCATCCACCTCGTGACGCTCATCCACATCATCCTGGTTCAAGGAGAAACCGTTGTTTTCAACCATTAGGAAATGTCCTCTGCAATTTTTTAGATGATTATGAATTATCATCGTATGATGATGATTCTTCTTTTATACCCAACATTTAATCACAACTCTATATATTTTTT